ACATGACTTGTTCATAGTTAGTCTCCCAGCAGAAGGTGGCTTTCCAAAGTCTCATTTGAGCATAAGGATTTTACACAGCCATCTTTTGGGCAATCAAATGGCAACTTCCTTCTTTTTGGTTTTGAGTGAGTTCTTCATCTTTAAAAAAAATATCAAATTGTCAAACATATTATTCAAGCATTGACTGCAAGGCAATTAATTTCAATGAGGGGTATCACATGCTGAGCAGGAAATACCTACCCTTCTAGGAGCATTATCACTGCAGATTTTTTATGTTTACATTGTCAAAGCTTTAGTTTCATTGCTGTGTATATGTGTGCATGTCTTTATGTGTTCCTATGTGCTTGTATCTGTCTTTTTCTTTAGGTTGTTTAAGTCTTGAACATTTTGAAAGCTGACTCAAAGTAGTTTGAGCAGCTTTGTCTCCTTGAAGCATAAACCTTTATGAAAAACATTAACAAGTCATCCGTGAACTGACCAACTATCTTTCCTCTATGCTTAGTTCTTAGCTCACCTGACGTCTAGGGTCATGTTACAAATTTCATAAAGCAGGTGCATGCCCTGACGTTTGAATTTCAATCATGACATCTATTATAAATTTAGCCGATGACATTCAGCATAATAACCACAATATTAGGGCAATGTTAATCTCATCCAGTAGGAAATATTTTCCTTGTCTGATTTAATATTTTCCTAACATACTGCCAGCTGACTGCAACATTATTATTTAGTGTTCCTTACCTTCAGTATTCAAAGATCTGCTGACTGTTTTCTCATTTGTACAGTTCATTTTCAAAAGAAGTTCAGTTGCCTTTTGTGGAAACCCAAGTGATTTCCATGGAATAACTTGATAAAAATAAAATATTTTTTTTCTACAAATAGGAACAAAATAAACATGTACCTTAGATATGAAACACTTAATAAAGTCATTAGGTCATTCATGCATAAAATATTGGTCACACTTATAGCTATCATTTTCATGACTTGTAATGGCTTAGTAAAGGACAGATGGATAGACAAGCAAAACCTAACAATATATTGCTTCCAAAGCTTGAATTGTTTCAAGGTTAAATGGATCAAATCCTTGGGCTGAGATATAAATACTTCTGAAAACATCTACTGATAAGGCATGATATATCATGTCCTTAAGGCCATACTTTGACCTATAATTGTTAACTTTTTATACATTGTGACTTGGATGGAGGGTTGTCTCATTGGTAATCATACCACATCTTCTTATTTATACTGGTATATGAGAAAGTATGTTTTATGTAATTCACCAAACCTTAACCTTTTCCTATTGTATAAGCTTTCCATACTCTCAATCCATCAGACTCAAACTGGAAGGTATGAAGTTGGGTAATTCCTGGAATTGATTTAGTATTGTTCTTTTCACCATCAATAACAGTTACTGTGTCCACGACTTTTACTATAAATTGCCCATTTTGTCTTGCAACTATGGTCTAAAAAATATACAGTGTTAATACATGTATTATAATGTATATGTCTGAAAACACATTTATATTTGACACAAACAATTTCTATGTGCATGCATTGTCCCTTTACATGTACATGTATATTCACAACATTCAAATATTTGAATGCATTTAACCATTATGTAGTATGCGTGGTGTCTGTGTCTAATCCAAAAATATTGTCATCTGATTACAAAAGAAAAAAGTAGACTTGCACAAATTTTGACTCAACAAATGTATTTTAAAATACATGTATTGCACAAACAACAAACATCCTTCCCTGGGTAGAAGATGTTTCTTCTAGTTCTCCTGTTGTACACATTGTTCACAATAAACAGAAAACAGCTTACGGTATGCACAGTAAAGGGAAGTAAAGTATTAAACAGGTTTCCATACTTTGATAACATTCATATAAAACAGTGAACTTTGAATACAACTTATGGCTTGCATTGACAGTCATGTTTTTTTCAAGAAACCAGAAGTCTTTTTACATTTGTTTATTTTTAAAGTATTTTGATTATTCACAATTAATGTATCTGTTTTAGTACTATATTTATCTTTTTTTCTTCATGTCAAGGAAAAACATTACTGGATCCCCCTTTCTTTTTCCCAGACTACAATTTTTTTTCCTTCAAATATAGGGCACAGAAAAAAAACAATTCAGGGGAAATGGAGTCCTACTGCAACCCTCCCTCTTCTTATGAAATAAAAAAAAATAGCCCCTAATACAAAAATTAAAGGAATTGTAAAATTTTTAAATTTTAAATTTTAACTATAAATTAATATGTTCTTGAAATGAAGTATAGGTTATAAAAGTACTTACGTGCACCAATAGGCACTATAAGGCCATTTGTATGAAGAATTTTACACATCATATCCTTCGTAATTTTTCTATCTCCTTTTGCTAAACCTTTGTTTGCTGATGTTACCGCTCCTCCTAAGGCTAATAACTATCACTTCCGAAATTTATAAAATGTTCACAGACATAATGAATTATTAATGATGCTTTAAAAAGTAGTGTTCCAGATTTTGTCTGCCAGACACTTACACTACTTTTTAATTTTTACACTGACGTGCTCTGCAAGGGGAAATAACTCTTGTTTAAAATGATGAAAAATGGGGGAGTTAAATATGATAATGTTTCTAAATAAGCATAGACCCCATCAAATTTTGTTTTGAAATATATAGTTTTATATTTTTTCTTTCAAATGGGTAGAAAAATTAATTCATCTGAATTTGATAAAATTATGTTCTTTTTTTTTTCTTTTTTTTTTTGGTTCAAAAATTAGTGAGCTGGACCGAATCTAGGTCATTTTACTATGTTTATCTACATAAAGTTTTCCACCTAATTTAATAATTATTTGGATATCACTCTGTTGTATGGGAGCAGTAATGGAGATCTATTTTGCAGAAAAAGCTTCATAATACGTTTTCATATATTTTTGCTATATTTTCAAAAGAAATGTGTGGAAAAATTTACATGTCGTTTCCATGGTAACCAAAGCATTTAAATAAAATCAAAGTTATGTTTTTCAATATATATTAGGAGGTCCTTCAATATCTATATTTTAAAAAATCTGTAACCAAGTATTTCCAGTTAATTTTGTTTTCTTCAAATAATTGGTTTTAAAAACAATATCTTCTCATTAAAAAAACAAGATTATGTGGCATGATTGTTAATTAGACAACTATCCACTATAAACCAAATATCGTTGAATTCAGCAATTTAAGGTCACCGTACGGCCTTCAATAATTATATTAGTCAATTTGTTGAACAAAATAATTTTCATTTTTGGAAAACAAGTCTGTTACCATCTATATATAGCTATGAGAAACATACATAAATATATGAAAACATATTTCGCAGAAAGTAGTGTAATTAATCAAACCTTGTAGGTAGTAACAGCAAGGTAATCAGAGTTGTTTATCTATAATTGGCTAAGTGAAAAGAAAAGTAACTAGTATAAAAACATTCTGTTTTCTATAATACAGTCGTGATAATAAGATAAAACACATAGTTTTCTCCATTGAACCACAAAGTATTACATTCCTTTTCATATTCTATTAAAGATATAGATCGATTATGATTTGCTATTTTACAATCCTAGACGGCGGAAGACCCTAAATTTACATTAATTTGTTTTAAAAAAATTAGTCTAGTTCTCCAATAACAGTGTGCATAACCTAAAGTTGATAAACAGTACTTAATTTATATAACCATCTTGGTCAAAATCATACTCGGTATTTGTAAGACTGCTGCCACTGTGTCTAAGTCACCGACCGTTCATATTTTTTGGTTGGGCATGTTTTATTTTGTCTTTTATATAAAACATTTTTTTCTTTCATTTTTTTTTTTCGCGAAACGTATTTTTTTGTTTTCATTCAAAGTATCTAATGTGTTAACCATTTCCCCACCTTACAAGGAAAACGTGCATTTTCCATTTCGCTTCGGAAATCTTTTTTTCAATTTTTTCAATTATGTTTAAATAATTTAATATTCTTCACAGATGAAAATTGCGTTCAATGTTAAACGATTTATAGATTAATCATTTATTCCGCTTTAGTGCAATAACTTTTAACCAATAATTTTCACACCAAGAATTATGAAGTCAACCAAACCAGAACGATAAATACATCAGAATAGATACTGAATATTAGGTTCTTTTTTCTCTGGTAGTAAGACTTATCATATCATGTTATAAAGGTAGTCATCTGATATACTTATCTATTTTAAAAACAAAATATTCGAAAATGAAAACATACCACATAAGAAAGGGTGTTTAATATACACAGAATACATGAAACCGCACAACAATAATGGAAAGTTAAAAACTAAAAGTTAAAAAAAAGATTGATTCTTTTTTATTTTACCTGTTGTCTTAATTAAGATTTTTCAGAATATTAATTACGAATAGAAAGAAATGGAGAGACACTTTTACATTTTAATGAGAAAACTCTAAAAAGAAATGTCTTCTGAAAAACACTTATGCATAAGCAAAGCTTGCGTACTTAAGTTTATTTTATAATAAAAAGTATCTCACAAATTATGAAATTAAAAGTACCTTTACATAAAAGATGTAAAAACAAATATTTAAAAGTATAATATTTAAGCATAACATGCATACACAAATTGTTATTCTAATTAGAAATTATATTAATGTTTCCCATAAAACAGCGTTTATTTTTAAAATTTGTTTTTGACAACGAAGTGAATTCACACATTATCGAACCGGTCATTAAAAAATTCGTTTCATTTAGTTTGAAAACAAATCCGAAATAAGACGCTTAAGTTAAAATTCATACAGTATCAACAGCCAAGTATTTGAGACATCGATACCAATATCAAGAAACAGTTTGTGTTTGATTTTTTGTTACAAAAAATGTTGTCAAAACTTCTTGGAATTTTATAACACATGCACAGGAGCTTATTCTTTTTCCTTTCTGATTTGAAAGTATACTTTCTTTATATTGCAGTATTATCTAAACTATGACTGAATTAATCAAATATTGTGGAAATTATTGCAGGATGTGTTTGAAGGTAAGGTTGGTGGAACAGTTGATAGTCATACAAATACTGTAATTGAAACTTGGAATGAAAAAATTGCGTGTCAGAATAATCATGAAAAGATCGATAAACTATTATTGGACAACAAGGCAGACAATAATCCGTGCAGAGATAATGAAGTATCTCCTTTGAATGTTGCTTGTTTCTTGAATCGTATAGAGATAGTAAAGACGTTATTGGACACCAAGGTAGACATCAATAAGTGTGATGTTAACGGGGGATCTCCTTTATATTTTGCTTGTCAGAATAATCATAAAGAGGTAGTCAAACTATTACTAGATAACAAGGCAGACATCAATAAATGTGCAACTAATGGAGCATCACCTTTGAATGTTGCTTGTTTTTATAATCATATAGAGACAATAAAGATATTACTTGACAACAAGGCAGACATTAATAAGTTTGATGATAATGGAGCAACTGCTTTGAATATTGCATGTCAGAACAATCATAAAGAGTTAGTCAAACTATTACTCGACAACAAGGCAGACATTAATGCAAATAATGATGACGGGGGTCCTTTGTATATTGCTTGTCAGAACAATCATATAAAGTTAGTTAAGTTGTTACTGGACAACAAGGCAGACATCAATAAGTGTAGAGCTAATGGAGCATCTCCTTTGAATGTTGCTTGTCAGAATAATCATATAGAGACAGTAAAGATATTACTGGACAACAAGGCAGACATTAATATGATTGATGGTAATGGAGCAACTGCTTTGTATATGGCATGTCAGAATAATCACAAAGAGGTAGTCAAACTATTACTCGACAACAAAGCAGACATTAATATTTGTGGTGGAAACGGAGGTCCTTTGTATATTGCTTGTCAGAACAATCATATAGAGTTAGTTAAGGTTTTACTGGACAAAAAGGCAGACATCAATAAATGTAGAGCTAATGGGGCATCTCCTTTGCATATTGCTTGTCAGAATAATCATATAGAGACAGTAAAGATATTACTGAAGAACAAGGCAGACATTAATATGATTGAGGGTAATGGAGCAACTGCTTTGTATATGGCATGTCAGAATAATCACAAAGAGGTAGTCAAACTATTACTCGACAACAAGGTAGACATTAATAAGTGTGTTGATAGCTGGGGATCTCTTCTATATTTTGCTTGTCAATATAATCACAAAGAGGTAGTCAAACTATTACTGGATAACAAGGCAGACATCAATAAATGTGCAACTAATGGAGCATCTCCTTTGAATGTTGCTTGTTTTTGTAATCATATAGAGGTAGTCAAACTATTACTGGACAACAAGGCAGACATTAATATGATTGATGGTAATGGAGCAAATGCTTTGTGTATGGCATGTCAGAATAATCATAAAGAGGTAGTCAAACTATTACTCGACAACAAGGCAGATATTAATAAATATGATGGTAATGGAGTAACTGCTTTGTATATGGCATGTCAGAATAATCATAAAGAGTTAGTCAAACTATTACTCGACAACAAGACAGACATTAATGCATGTGATGATGACGGGGGTCCTTTGTATATTGCTTGTCAGAACAATCATATAGAGTTAGTTAAGTTGTTACTGGCCAACAAGGCAGACATCAATAAGTGTAGAGCTAATGGAGCATCTCCTTTGAATGTTGCTTGTCAGAATAATCATATAGAGACAGTAAAGATATTACTGGACAACAAGGCAGACATTAATATGATTGATGGTAATGGAGCAACTGCTTTGTATATGGCATGTCAAAATAATCACAAAGAGGTAGTCAAACTATTACTCGACAACAAAGCAGACATTAATATTTGTGGTGGAAACGGAGGTCCTTTGTATATTGCTTGTCAGAACAATCATTTAGAGGTAGTTAAGGTTTTACTGGACAATAATGCAGACATCAATAAATGTAGAGCTAATGGGACATCTCCTCTGCATATTGCTTGTCAGAATAATCATAAAGAGACAGTAAAGATATTACTTGACAACAAGGCAGACATTAATAAGTTTGATGATAATGGAGCAACTGCTTTGTATATGGCATGTCAGAATAATCATGAAGAGGTAGTCAAACTATTACTCGACAACAAGGCAGACATAAATGGGTGTGAAGATGACGGGGATCCTTTGTATATTGCTTGTCAGAACAATCATATAGAATAAGTTAAGGTTTTACAGGACAATAATGCAGACATCAATAAGTGTAGAGCTAATGGGGCATCTCCTTTGAATGTTGCTTGTCAGAATAATCATATAGAGTTAGTCAAACTATTGCTGGACAACAAGGCAAACATCAATAAATGTGCAAAAAATTGAGCATCTCTTTTGAATGTTGCTTGTTTTTGTAATTATAAAGAGCTAGTAAAAGTGTTGTTGGACAACACGGAAGGCATTTATACAAGTGATGATAACTGAGGCACTCCTTTGTATACTGTTTGTCACAGAACATTCATATAAAGTTAGTTAAGGTATTACTGGACAACAATGACAATATTGTTATTTCTGAACAAAAAGACGTTGAAAGATGGCTATGTAATGACATTTTCGTATGCATATTGCTAGTCATCAAAATATACAGATTGTATAACAAAAAGGCATGCCTTAATTAGTGAACAGAAAAGGGAGCGTATATCGGTATGACATAGATAAGTTGATTTTGTTTCGTTTGTGCTTGGCTTATATATTGCTTTTCAGTTTCAGTTTGGTTCCTGGATTTGTCTCTTTCAAATCGATTTGAAAGTATTTACATCGGTGAACTACTGTCTCTTTAATTTCAGACAATAATTATATAATTGAAATAAGGAATAAGATTAGAAAAAGAAGTAGATCACAACACACATGCATATGTTGGTATGTGATCCATTGTGGTATCCAGAAGAAAAAAATATAGAAATATTCTATCTAAATGAAAGGTCATAGCAGTGATATTGTTCTACTTCATTCATTAAATACGATGGCACGGAACAGTTTCCCAGCATTGTATCAACTATATGCATACAGCGAATGATTATTGATTGATTTACAGGTAAATTGATTGTGTAAGAAAATAAATATGAAAATACTAAGACAGATTTCACTCCAGACACTATAATCACTGATATTTGATTGAAATACAAAGATACTGTATTGTTATATTGTTGTTCCATAGGTTACATTCCTATGATTAAATGTCGTTTTATCGTAGCATAGTGTATAAACCAATGAACAGAACTTGCAATTTTAGGTGTTACTTTTAGGCGATCCGTCGGTAGCCCTTAATTCTGCACCGCAACAGCAATCCGGCAGTCTTATATAATTAATATTCTGACTTCACGGAAGGACATGCAAGTCGACATTTTGTATGTTCACATCTACTTTAGTGAAATGGCTGCTCGAGGACGTACATTTTCAGTAAAATTGCAAGATATGTTTGTAAGATGTGAAATTGAAATACCATTATTTATGTTGTTGAATTATTCCGATTGTCCTAAATTTGAAAAAAAGCAATGATATTTGGTAAACCGTATTTGATACAAGGAAAAAACCCAAACTGTCGACTTTCCTACCGTCATTAAGCGAGTTTTTTGTGAGAATGTCAATATTAAATTATCGATTTACATTTGTTTAAAAATCAATGAAAAGAAAAAGCAATTGCAAAGCCATATAACCCTAGAATGACTAAGATGATAGATAAACAGTACTTTGCTTGATTTATAAACATATCAGTTACTTAATTGCATCGTAAACGTGTCAATTAAATGCCAGTTGAATGATGTCATAATCGTTTGGGACTTGAATGATTTTGATACGGTTTGGGCTTTAATGCAATATATTTTACCACAGGCGAGGGGCAAAACATCGACATAAAGGGTCAACCCGTTGTAAAATCAAAACAAATTCCAGTCCTAATGAATTATTTCTATTCTTATATAGCAAAGACGACAATTATTTTGAATCGAACTTATCTAGGTGAAGGTTTTTTCCGTAATTAAACACAATATTACTTTTGAAGTAAAAGACGAATAATCATTGACATACATAAGCGATTTACTATAACATATCAGTGTAACATATTTGTTTTGCGTTTATTATTTTGTACATAAAACTTGTCATTATATTTTTCTCGTTCGAATTGTTTTTCATCTGTCATTTCGGGGGTCTTTTATAGCTTACTGTACGGTTTGGGTTTGCTCATTGTTTTGGGCCATATGATGACCTATAGTTGTAAACTTTTATATCATTGAATCTCTGGTGAGGAGATATCTGATTGACCATCATACCACATCTTCTTATCTATATAACTAAACATGTTAGAATGAAGACAAACATTTGATATATGCTTGAATTTTAGCAGTGTGATTATTTGATTTATTAAAAACTCCAAACTTATTAACAAATCACAACACACCTTCGTAATTAATATAATATTACGGTTATGTTTATATATTTAACTCATTTATATCGTATTATTGTTTCTTAGTTATTGTATACCATCAGCCATTTAGGGTAAAAATCTGCATTTGAAACAAATTGATAATAGATTAAAACTTAATGTTTGACGATAGTATTTTACTATTATTTTCAAAGGACTAGGGGTTATAAGGGCCATTTTTGGCCCCATCCCCAAATTTAGTTTAATTTGTCATGTTGTAACTCTATACCAAAGACCTTCTGAAAATAGTTTTATTTTGGGTCTATCTCATATATCCTGTTGCCTAGCAACCAGTATAGTGAGGGGAATAAACTCATTAAAAATGCTAATTAAACAGCTTAAATCGATCTAAATTTAGAATCAAACCTGTTTTTATATGCTGTGAATTTTACATGTATACACTAATTGAATGTAACACAATGAAATGCACATTTCTTGGCAAAATCATTGTATTTTCTCCCCAGCAACAAATCTTTGTCCATAGCAACGGCAATTTGTTTTCTATTTTACAAGATTAAACTTTTAATATTTTGCAACAAAAAATTAAATCAAGATGCAAATTGTATAAAAGAAAAAACTCCAAAGAAAATCAATAAAAACCAATGTTGAAATATCAACAAAAAAACTACAGACAAACAAAAGTAAATATAAAAAAAAAGAAGATGTGGTATGATTGCCAATGAAACAACTCTCCACAAGAGACTTTAAATCTTTAAAAAAACGTGGTAATGAAATTCACTTCTAGAGTCCATCTATGGTGTAAAATATTGAATAACTGCCCTTACGGTGAAATTGCTGGTAATTACATTTTTTCATGAATCAATATGCGTACACCTTACATATTCTTTTAATCATATTAGATTAACAGATTTTGTCTCTAGTGCTAGATGGAGTCCTTTCAGTCCTTAATGCTTCCGCCGTGGGGTTTCACTTATTAGCGACGAAAGGAATAATTTAGCGACAAGAAGAAAATCTTATTATCAATTATAATTATCTAAAATGAAGAAATATAGAAACATGCATTAAAGGGTGTTTTTCTTTATATAAGTGTATCTTCATTATAGTACTTATGTAGATTCGGGAGGGTTGACACGTAAAAGGAAATGAACGTGAATGGAAGTGAGCATGATTTTTGGCGAATGGACCCGGATTCATTACGGTTTACCCTTGTCCATCCGTACATTTCGAATTGGTTTCAATTCTCTAACTTTACCTTGCCACAAACAAATGTCCTGAAACTTATACACAATCCTTTTTATCCCAAACACAGATCAATTTAGAATTAAGGTGGCGTTACTTTCACTGTTCTAGAGTAATGTCCCTTTATAAGTGGAAAAATCAGCATTTTTTCGGTTTCCGTTCACTTACATGACTTACTTTACTTTGCCTCAACCAAATGTTATGAAACTTGTACTCTTTATACTTTTTGCCACCAAAGACATATCTAATTCTACATGTTCTAATTAGGGTTGTATCATTTGAAAAAAAAATGTCATGTTTCTCACCAATAAGCATAGAATCTTTTAAATCTCTTTTCGGTATATTTTGTTTTATGGAATTAAACCCTCCTCCCCTCCTCCCTCTCCCTCTTTCATATATCATGGATCCAATCATTATACAAAAGAAGATTGTCCCATTTCTATTCTATTTCAGTTGAGATTAGAAGAAACATAAGAAATTATCAGATTTAGTTACATTGTATGTCTATCTAAAATTTCATATTTTCAAAGTTATCGTTGATTCCTTACAATATGTTGTTCATTACTTTTGGGTTTTTGAAAAGTTAAAACTAGGTATACTTGTGAAGAAAAAAAACAACAGAAATACATGTTGCTGATTCATAAGCGAAAAGTTAAATTCATAAATGCATAATAATGTATAAATTAAACTTTATCATACGAACATGTATCATCTTAAAGACACATTTCAGCTATTTATTGCTCTGCTTGGCTATGAAAAAATTTAAAATAAACTATCGCACCAACCTTGCACCAAAAAGATTTTTTATCTGAAGTTTGATATGTATTAACTTGTCAAAATGTGAACATTTCAAATTGGTGCAAGCATGGTGCGGTGGTCAAAATGTAAATAAACCTTCTCAATTTCTGTATTTTTGCCTTTTTTTTCGATTATGACGTCATTAAAAACTACCATTGTGACGTCATTAAGCATTTGTTTGTTAGATTAAATCAGTTTTTTTAAATCATTGACTCATATTCTATCAATTTTTGTAGAAAAATTATCTGAGTTTAAATTTTTATTATTTTGTAAATCTGGGGCCATTTTAGGCCATTATAGTCCCTACTCCTTTAGGCCATTTATTATGCAGCTCATTTTTTGAATGATAGAATTTTAACAAGCATGTGGTTAGTATTTGAATTGCCTGGCTTACATACCAGTCATAGTTATTGTATTTTTTACATTCTTGCCAAAAACAAGAAGATCAAAGAAGCCACATTAATTTCACATTCAGATATATTGATGATGGTTTTTCCATAAACAATCCACATTTTCCGATTGGGTTTCATTAATATATTCTTTAGAACTAGACATCAAAGAAACAACAGAAACGGCTTCCTCTGCCTCGTTTTTAGACTTATACCTCGAATTTTACATAAGAGGTCATCTCAGTGCCATAATCTATGACAAACAAGACGGTTCTTATTTTAAAATTATCAATGTCCCCCACCTCAATAGCAATATACCAACTTCACCTGCATATGGGATATCAATTTCCCAACTCATTCGGTAT